AATTGAAGTATTTGATGATTGTGATGGAAATGAAGGAAATGACAACATATTCTTGGAAGAGTTGAGCATTTTATTGTCAGAGAGGACTTTGTTGAGAACATATTTGAACTGAGGTCTGATTGACAGGAACGATCCAGGCATGCAAACATTTTTTGGACAAAATGTTCCAGATAGAGAAAGTTCCTACTTCTGAGGTGATGAGAAGTTACTTAGGTGTTTCTGAGGGACCAAAAAGAAAGCAAAGCAAGCTACTATGGCTGGAACCATGGAGAAAGCAATACGCAGTGAAGTCAGAGGTCACAGAGGGCCAGGCCATTGCCTTTGAGCACTGGGGAGGAGCTTCATTTATATTTTTAGCACCATACGTTGCTATCAGAGGGTTTTTATTATTATTATTATTATTATTATTATTATTATTATTATTATTACTGGTGACAGTATCTCTCTGTAGCCCCAGCTGGCCTGGATCTCACTATGTAGACCAGGATGGCCTCAAAATCCACTTGCCTCTGCCTTCCAAGTGCTGGGATTAAAGGCATGTGCCACCACACCTGGCTTATCAGAGGGTTTTTAAAACAATGATATAACTTGGTCTGATTTGCGTGTTTAATATTTGTGCTAGGGCAGTGGTAGATTGCTTATCATAGGCTTCAACCTGGGTTTCATCTCCAGTCCTGAACAAAGTTTCTAATTATTGGATGATAACTATATTGTGAAAGAGGAGTGGAAACAGAGACTAGTTAGGAAAGTATGCTAATTTTAGCTTGACTTAGGGTGGCAGTCAAATCTGCAAAGGACAGATCTGGTCTCAGTCTCATCCATGACAGCTTGCTAAGGATTGTTAGGGAGGGATCAAAATCTTAAGGTTTTGGTTTGAGAAATGGAAGTGGGATTACCACAGAGTAGCAATAGGGCTACACAAAGATACAATCTAGGCATGGATTTTGGCCTCACTGTCAGAGATGTATCTGAAACTAAAAGAAGATGATAGGGCTTGGAGATAGAAATTTTGAAGTTTCGTAGAGATTGTGCTATGGAACAGAGTAGAAACACTTAGGTAAAGAGAAAGTGATTAGAAGGAGTCAGAAAGGGCTGGCAATTACAGTTTTTATTTCTTCACAGAATAATGAAACAAAACCTAGGAAAAAAAAGTTTTGGGGAAAGAGGAAGTGGGCAGCTAATTGTCAGTTACCATTCAAAGTAAGACAAGGTCAGGAAGTATAGTTTTGAAGTGGGAGCATGCTTGACAGTGTATGAAAGACAGTGGTGGCATGGTATGGGGCAGGAGCTGACCTGTGTAGTTTAAGATGAGACTGTGAGCTGAGAATTTTATGATTGAAAATTAGGTGGTGGTTGTCATAGGTCAGGAGAATAAAGGGAAGTGAATAGTTGATAGCCACAGAAAGACTTAAGGTGATGCACTACTATACCTTTTGCATGTACGGTGAGTGTCTGACACTGGAACCAAAGTCAAGAATGAAATCATAAGGATGCCATTATGAAATAAACTGTCATGCCAATACAATGGGAAACTTTACTAAAACTTTTCTTTAAATTTTATCACTCTTGGTTTGGATAGCTGAATTTTTGTTAACTGCAAGATTTCCTTTATGGTCATATATTTATGGTGTCAAATGTTCACTTTTGAATATGATAAATGAAGTGTTGAATTTAAAATTTTTTCTTTTTAATTAGCATGTAGTAATTGTGCATATTTACAGAATGAACACTTATTTTTATTCTGTTTTTATGTCTGAATCAAAGAAAATTGTTTTGAAATATTACATGCAGATTTGTAGTTATTTCCTTTATGGTCATATATTTATGGTGTCAAATGTTCACTTTTGAATATGATAAATGAAGTGTTGAATTTAAAATTTTTTCTTTTTAATTAGCATGTAGTAATTGTGCATATTTACAGAATGAACACTTATTTTTATTCTGTTTTTATGTCTGAATCAAAGAAAATTGTTTTGAAATATTACATGCAGATTTGTAGTTTTTCTTTCATTTGAAAATTTGGAGTGATAAAGGTGCAACATTTGGCTTTAAATAAATCCTCACAACCTTTGAAAAAATTCAACCTAAATCTTTTTTATTGCAAGTCTTATGGCCTTGGTGAAATTATAAAAATAATAAAACAAAGTAGACATTTGATTCATAACTCTTCCAGAGACTAAAGTTGAAGCTAAAGGACTGTTTTATATTTTAGCTGATGAATCTGAAGCTAAATGTAATAAAACAGTAAAGTAAAGCCAAGAGAAAACTGAGCAGAAAAGAAATCAAGTTCTTGATGAGGATATAATGTTACATTATAGTCAGAACTGAAAACTTCATCTTAATATTTTAAATAGTATACAGTGAGCTCGTATCTAATCCTTAAAAGATTTTAGGGGTACCTCTTCAGAGGGGGGAATGTTAGAGTAGCAAAAAGCCCCTTAATTAAAAAGAAGAAAGAGTACATGAAGTTATCAAAGAAAAGTGATGGGGAGACATGGGAGGAGTTAGAGGAGGGGGTGGGCATGGATTTGATCAAAACACCTTATATGCATGTATGAAATTCTCAATAAGTTATTTTTTAAAAAAGATAGCAAAATCTAAAACATGAGTGTGCATCTAATTTGATTTTGAAGTAAAGAAATCATTCAGTATATCACTTTTGCATATTCTTTTTTTTAACTCAATGTTATGCTATAAAATTCAAGCATGTTATTATGTGTAGTTGAGCAGTAGTTTGCTCACTGTTGTTTTTATTGTAAGCATCGTCATATACATTCTTCATTCACCTGTTAACAGAGATTTGGTGCTTTTCAGTTCATGGGTATTGTGGATAAGGCCCTACAAAAAATACTTTTGTGTGTGTGTTTTGGTTTTTAAAAGTCATGTTTTATACCTAATAGACCATTTTCTAGACCATTAGATAGGCATATGTTTAGCTGTAAAGGATAGTGCCAAAATGTTCCCTTTATTTCACGTCATTTCCAGATGTTCTGTAAAATCATCATGCTTTAGAAAGATTTAAATTCTTTTAAAGAAACAATCCAAAATGTTTTTCTGTTTACTTTTGTTGGCAAAAAGATTACAGTGTATTTACACAGCAGCCACCCGAGGAGGAAATGGATTCAAAGTCTTTTGATGAAATGGAACAGAGCTTACTCATTCTTTCTGAAACCAAAGCTACTCTCATGGGCACCATGAGCCTTTGGAAACAGCAAATGTCTGCAATAGCAAAGTTTCACTTCCTTATGTTGAAACGTGAGAGTAAATCAGTGCGATCAGTGTAAGTGTCATAATCATTCTTTCTGAAAGCTTGTCTTTTTAAGAATGCAAATTGGTTTTGCCACCTGAAATTTTAAAATAGTGACATGTAGATCTACATAGTTTTGAAAGATTAAAATGATGATTTCATAATGTAAAAAAAAATTACAGCACTTTGATTACATACCCTTGGAACTTGACTCTAAATTTTTTTTCAATTAAAAAGTTCTGTTTTAGTTTTTTGAGACAGGGTCTCCTGTAGCTCCAGTTGACGTGGAACTCACTATGTAGACCAGGCTGGCCTTGATCTCACAGAGATTTGCTTGCCTCTGCCTCCTGAGTGCTGGGATTAAAGGTGTGCAATACCATGCCTGGCCCTACTCTTTTTTTTTTTTTTTTTTAATGCGTATGAGTGTATTGCCTGCATGTATGTGAGTGCACCCATATCATGCAATGCCGCGGAGGTCAGAAGAGGGCTTTGGATTCCCCTGGAACTGGAGTTAAGGACGGTTCATAGCCTCCATGTGGGTGCTGGGAATCGAACCCGGGTCCTCTGCAATAGCAGTCAGTGCTCTTAACCATTGAGCCATCTCTCCAGCCCCTCTTTTTTTTTTTTTAAACTGGCATTTATTGTCTCATCTGTAAAATAATGAAGTGACAAATAATACTCTCTGATTTGAATCACTGCTATGATATTTTAACTTTCTTTTACATTTATCGTTGCATAATTTTTACATCCATTTTTATAATCACTTCTATTCATTATAGCAGGAAAAGTACATTTTATCCCTATTTATAACATGAAGACAACTGAAATGGGGGCTGAAGCAATGGCTCAGGTGGTTAAGAGCACTTGCTATTCTTGCAGAGGACCTGGATTTGTTTCTGAGCACCCACATGGCAACTCACATCTATCCATAACTCCAGTTACGGGGGATCCAGTGCCCTCTTCTGGACTCCAGGGGCACTGGACACATGGTGCACTTATATACATGCAGGCAAAACACTCATACATAAAAAATAAAAATAAGGAAATAAAAAATTTTTAAGAAAACTGAAATGTAAAGAGAGCTATATAACTAGTAGATCTGGCTTCCAAAAGATCCTCAACTTAATTTTAGACTCTCAGTCAGTACCTTTGCTCCCTAGGGGTCTAAGAATGACTTACGGGGAATTATATTTCCTACTTTCATATACCATGTGCCTGTCTTCTTAAAATGGTAGCAGGAATAAAATTTAATAATAAAGAATAAGAGTATTTTTCTATGCTTGAAATATTTTGAGGGAGGTATTTGAGTTTTTGACTGAATTTATTTAGAATCAAACACATGTCAATCACATTTTACTGAAAAATGTTTAAGTCGGCATGTTTCAGTTTATTTAGTTGAACACCATTTTAATAAAATACACCCTGGAAAATAATAAAAATGCCTTCATTCAGATTGCTGTAATAAATACCTTAGACTGAGTATTTCTGGAGGCTAGAAGTCTGAGAGCCAAGTATCAACACGGTAAATATTCTTTCTTGCCTTCCAAAAAGCTACCGTCTTCCTGTGTACTCAGAAAGAGAGCATGGAAGCAAGCACACTAATATGCCCTCTTTGATATCACTTTTGTAAGGGTACTAAACCCATCATGAGTCTTTTCTAATTTGGATTACGTTCCTATCTTCACATACCACCAGATTAAGGATTACAGCTTTGCTATATAAATTTGAGGGAACACAAACATTCAGCTAAAAACAAAAAATAGTGTAAGGTCAAATATTTAAGAAACATTCTGATTCTCCATCATAGATTGTTTTTTAGCATATAAAACACATGAGTTCTATGGAAAATTTAACTTTAAACTAGTTTCCATATAATCATTATTCCCCCTCCCCAAGGTACCTGTTAATTTACACAGCTGGTTTTAAATGCAGCATGCTTTGGGGGATGGTAATTTTGGTATACTTAAAAATTTAGTGGTACAATCCTTCTTCAACCTTCTTCAGTCTTGCCTGGAAGATACATGTGGCTTAACTGAAAATTATAAATTATTAAATGAAGTGTAATGGTGTAAGCTCTCTAAGTACTGTGGCACTTACTAATATAGAGATATGCTATAGGAAAAGTAGCTGTCTTCCATATGTGTATAGTGTTATAATGCTCTTCTATAGTGCATAGCACTATGTGTCTTACAGTGTGTGTATATATGTGCATTATAATTACATACATTTACAGTATCACAGTGTACCACCTGAGGGGGAAATAGCAGTAAAATTTAAAATGTAAAAGTTTCACTATAATTTTCTTCTCTACAGTTAAAATGTTTTTATCAGTGTATAGAGTGTAGGTGGTTAGAATAGAGTCAGTGCAGGAAACAGTTACTTCAGGAGCATAGAGACAGAAATATTTATTATAACACGTAATTCCTTAACAGTTATGACTATATACTTATATAGAATAATTTAGGAGCCTGATCTAAAATATACTTTTATAACTTTTTTCCCTCCTTTTACTTCTACTTTTACAAATTTTAACTTTTTAAATTAAAGCCTGTTAATACTTAACAAAAAAGTGCAGTGTACGAAAGTATTCAGAGGATGAAAAACCTTAATTTAAAACTCATTATTTCCCAGTAAGGTAACAGC